TAGTAATACCACATTTCTCATGTCCACTATGCATAGTGATACAATGTATTAAATCATACCATATTTAGTAATGTACCAGGAACATCTTTAGGTCTGATTTTGGGATGAACTTGAACTGAATCCTGTAAGAGTAATAAAAGACCATTGTGAGACAGAATATGAAGATATATTACAATGAACCGTCATTTCAAACTGAATATAAAAAAATGGCACTGTTCGCTACAGCTGTTATTAGATCATGGAATCGAAAAAAATAGAAATGGCCGCATCATCACACACTCCAGCACACAGTTGAACACTTTTCTTTGTTTACATTGGATGCAGAAATGATACAGTGCATGATGGGAATAAAATACAGTCACTGAACATTTTCACTTGCCATTTTGGGCTATAATTTCTTATTTTACTAATACTACAATCCGAAAAAAAATGTATAATAATAAGTTTATCACAAGAATACAAGGTCATAATGACCTCTGCCATGCATCAGTCCACAGTAGTGCCTTCACGCATATTTTGCGGTATTCTCATAAAATTGGCAACATTATCAGTGTCAGTTAATGTCAACCAAGTACTGGTTAGAAAATTTGATGTTACAGTGTGTTCGTCAATATAGTAACAAAAACATCTTAATTTTCATTTGTCAATGACATTATCCATGCTTAATTTGGGTTACACAAAATATTTCTTGTAACAATAAAATCTCTCAAAGTATGTCCAAGAAATGGCTACAGGCTATTAAAAGCCACCAGTCGGAATTTTGAATCAAATCACAAAACAAACTGACGTACATCATGTGTAATGTTTATATAATGTTTGAATACAATCAACGGGGTATGCCTGAGGAATGGTTAATGACATTCCAAAATTTTAGTTATTTTGTTTTTTGACGAAAATTCAGGCCGACATGTATGAGAAATGATGTAACACAGACAGACAGAACACAAAACACAAGTCCTCATTTTAGACTGTATAATTATGTTTCGACAGGGATTATCGATAATCAGTAATTTCACCTATTTACTAGTTACTGTCACCAGCTTCTGACAAATTTAGAATGCTTCAGTGAGAGAAACAACAATAAAATCTGATTTGTTGTAATACTGTACAATACTTTATTTTGGTTATTTAAACTGAAGGAATGATTCAGTGAAAACAAAATCCAGCGAATATACCTTTCCCCTATATTTTACATTCAACTTGTCGAAAATCAGTGAAAATTAATTCCATACAAAAAAAGCAAGACTTTACAGCAAAAATTAATTGCAGCTATCACTCATTGCCTCATGAATGTTGCTCTAAGCATATTTCTTCCAGCATAGTTTGTCAGTATTTAGTAGGTAGTACTCTTTATTTGTTATGAACAGTCCCTGTTTACTAGTATCTTTACCGCAATCAATGCCTGTTTACTAGTAAGCAAATTATCTTCAGAACTAGTTTTTCTCCAAGTGGAGAGTACAATGTTATCCTCACTACTTACAAATGGTACATTTTTGTGAGCAGTAACAACCATTTTTTCAGGTCGATGAACTGTGTGATTGATGATGGGTGGTCACTATACAGAATGAACTAAGCAGGTAATTTGTGATGGACTGCAACATGTAGTTTACTATGTATACATATACATGTACCAGGTATGATATTTACAGGTTACTGACGCATTGTCGTTAAATGAACGATAGAAGTGAACACTTACCGGTTGTGAAAGTTCCCAGCGTGCTCGTATATGAACAATCTGCTGTACAATGGCATCACAGTCGTTATGAATGAAAGACAATGGCATTGGCGCATTGGCAATGGTTAATGTAAACTGATTATCATCTACCAAGCAAACCTATAGTAACCAAACATAACTAGTATTAACCAATGATAACTATAAAGTAATCTGAATATTAGTAACATCAGATTCTGTGTATCAGTATTTGCATTAGACCTTTAATATTCCAAAATATACTGACTCAGCATATACGTTTCATTTAAATGGGGTGCAATAAACTAAATTACCTCTTCAATTTCTGATGCGTAATAAACATCATTTAATAAAACAGATTGGCCTAGTACTTTACTTTTCTCTGTGGCAGTTATTTGTAATGCACTTGTACCAAGCTGGAAAATAAAAAATAATATTAGAAATACTACTTCTCACACAGACTGGAAAAAATAATATTAGAAATACTACTTCTCACACAGACTGGCATAATATTAGAAATACTACTTCTCACACAGACTGGCATTATATTAGACAGGTTATTTCTCACACAGACTGGCATTATATTAGACAGGTTATTTCTCGTACAGACTGGGATAATATTCAAATTTAACTGTCCTTAATATTTCAATTACAAATTATAACATGCACATTTCCTAACAAATATCAAATACCTAAATGAGAGGTGCACACTTTCCCATGACTGGTGTGAAAATGCTGTTTATAAGGATGAATTATGAATAATTCTAACGGTTTTCTAGACTCAACAATAATGACAACAAATAAGCAATCTTTAGTGCATGGTCTGATAAAAATGAAGTGAAAAATCATACCAAGTGTGATTGAAAAACAAATTGCAAACTTGTTTGATCTACAATAGAACATCTGATATGATTTATGATCGGTTCTCATTTTACAATTATTTGCTGCTTATCTATTTTCAGTATTACTTGACATAGATACTGGCAAAAAAAATGGAAAAAAAACAAGTCATTGAAAATGACACAGTCCCCGTTAAATGTTTGAAAGTTCTCTTTGTGCTCATCATATTAAAGCGGAGGGGTTGTCGCGAGCGTGTTCTTGAAACTTGAGTTCCAAGTAGCGTATACAACAGATTGTTTATTTTCATCAAAACACGTGTTCTGTGTAGTAGTAATATGGCCAAAAATTAAAACAGCTGTAATTCAGCCATCTTTGATCTGATTATGAAACACACTGATATGTATGATGTATGTGCCAAATACGAATGAAAATGGTACATAAATTGTGGAAATATAGTAGTAAGGCCAAAAAGTCAGATGGCTGTCAATCGGCCAGCTTTGACCAGATTTTGAAACAAATTGTCATGGACATGCATCCTAACATGTATAAAGTACATGTATGTGCCAAATTTGAATGAAAACTGACAGAGCACATCCAAGATACCGCATTAAAAAACCAAACAAGATGCCTGCCAGTCGACCATCTTTAATCCAATTGCGAAATAAATCGTCATGAACATGTATCCTAACATGTATAATCTATGTACCAAGTTTGAATGAAAACTGAAAAAGCATGTCCAAAATACAACATTTTCAAAAAACAAGATGGCTGCCAGTCGGCCATTTTGAATCGAATCGCTAAACCACTGCATGTGCATATGTCCCACATAAAGTACTAGGCACATGCAAAGAATGAACGGAATCGGTTCAAGGGGATTCTGAGATATGACTCCAGATGGACTCACGGTCGCACAGACGCACGGACGGACAGAGACCGAAGTATAAGTCCCCCTTTTCGGACTTTGTTCGAACAGGGACTAATAATCTCCGAATGTAGAACACTAAATTTTGATAGGACTGGTAACTACAAAAAGTAACAAGCAATGATGTTTGGTACAATATTTTGTGGACTTTCCAACACTGCTTGGTACATACTATTTTCACCTACCTTAATAGCCACTTTAGTATCTCTATGAGACAGTTTAAGTGCATTATTAAAACTCTTTATATCTTCATCAATAGAAAGTGTGGCACCAGGAAGTGCCTGAGAATCAACATCTATATATTCATTCAGTTTATTAGGTTGATCTATAAAGACTAATTTACGATTACCCTGAAATAAAAAAAAAAATATGGAGGATTCTCAAACATTTCATAAAATGGTAATTGTTTTTAGAATAATTTTACCTTTGGTGACACAAGTACATTGATTCAATTATGAAGTAATAAACTTGATAATTGTAGTCCTAAGTAACTATTAAAAAGCAAATGTTTAAACGTATAGATAGAAGATAATTACTGTGCTATCAATAAAGAGCCATTGCTCAAAACGTCTAGCTATTTTTAATAGTTCCTTAGGACTACGATTTCCAAATATTATCTACTATATATCATATTTATCAGTCCGAGCAGCGTTTATTTAGAAACTTGATACTAGGATGAATTACTACATAAGTGTCAGTATCTCAGCCATATAGCTTGCTCATAAAAACACTGATTGTAAAAGTATTTGGAATGCTAAGACATCTTAAGTTTAAAGATGGTCAAATAAAATTGTTTTGGGTTATTGTAACCCAAAAAAAAAAAAAAAAATATTTTCCACATATCTTTATCTTCATTGAAATTTACAACAGGTTGACAATATTAACAGTTGGAAGACAATAGTCTGTGTTATTAAAACTCTAATGTTCATGTACCTTTTTCTGAATCTGAAGCAATGTAAAAACTAATCTCTATGATGATTACAAGGCTTACCTTTAAGCAGAGTAAGATTATTTCATGGTACTTTGTATACTCCCTTAACCAAGTATTACAATTGTAAATATATGCAGCAAAAACATTATGAAAGGCAAAGGTGGGAAACACCATGAACCACTTAGACAGGAAGTCAGTCTGTAAAATAGAAGTTTGATGGTAAATTACAACATATTCCATTAAATTGTATGGGTGAATGTCATAAAGTGATTTAATGTTCGATACAATGCTATGATCTGTTCTCAAACAGCTAGAGTATAACCTCTTTCTAAATTCTGAAATTATTTTTGTCAATTTTAGGAAAGCCAGCCGTTAAAAATATATGAAGTGTATTTAAACGAATATAAAAATTTGTAAGATATAAAGTCAAGAACATCAAATTTATTTACCTTGAATCGATTATCAACACCAACATGTGTGAAATCCAAGACCAGTTCAAAGGGTTTTGTGTAATAGGGTTTTAAAGTTAATAAAACATGATACATCAACAGATCACCGTTTATTTGACCACATCTGCAAAACAAAACATATTCATCGATAAACCAGTGTTTGGCACTTTGCAAATTCATTCGAGAAAACAAATCAAATTATGAGTTAATAGCTTGCATGTATGCTGCAAGAAACGCCTTAAACTTTAATGCCATTATTTCCAAAATTGTAGGTGAAACATTTTTCAATATTTTTCAGTAAATTGGTTGATAATTTGGGCCAAAATGGACATAATTTCCCATTGGACAGATGTTTTGATAATAAATTTTGAGAGAAAAAAATTTGTAAGATTATTTTGCAAAAGAAAACAACAGTTGAATTTGGTATTAATTGACTGCCAATTCAACAGATGTTATAAATGAAGAGCATATGGTAAACTTAAAAGAGTGGTTGTTGCCTCGCAGCATGTCTTCAAATTTCATGTCATTTACACACGTTGTACACGTCACTATGATTCCCATATCGAACAAGAGTTGGCAGGACAAGAGGATGAACATAAAATACTCACTTGTATCTCCGAGCAATGTAATAAAAGACAGGATTGGACGATTTTGAAGTATGGGCTTGGTAGAAAATATTAAGTTGTTGAATTTGTTTAAATTCTTCCTTTTCGTGTGCATTGTGTTTTGTCATGAACTCCTCAAATTTTGTACTGGTCATGTTCATACTGCTCCATCTAGAGGTGAAAAAGAGATATGTTTATATTCAGGTTGACATATCTGTTGTCCACCTACTTTGTAAGGTAAATGAGTTTCAATTTAAGCTTTCTTACAAGCGACATTATTTCAGTCAAAATATTGGTACAAAATGTTACAA